TAAAAATTTTACTAGTGGATTTTCTTCCATGAAAATGCAAGACTATATCAGCGATAAACTGAATGGCAGAATTGTACTTGATGAAAATGACATTAATCGTTTGGTGATATGAAATGATATAATATGATATGATAGCTTGATTCTCTACTTATATTAAAGTGAGAGGTAGAAATAAACGAGATTTGATTTTTAAAACGGTAGTGAAAATTTCGCGAAATAAAAACTATAATATCATTCATGAGCATGTAATTCACACTTAATTAAATTTTTGTCATCATTTTTTTCCAGATCTGTAATCGTACATTCAATGGCATTTAGCGCCGATTCCAGATTCCTTTGCTTTACCAGTAATACCGAGACCGTTCATATATTCAAAATTGAAGGACCGATACCTAAAGAGCTTCGATTAGAAGAGGAAATAGCACTGCAATTTGAGTTAGTTTTAGTTTTGCAGAAAGAAAATTGGGCGATGAAATGAAATGAACAAAAATAAAGAATTGAGCGATCTGCAAACTTTTAATTTTATCATTCGGTGCATTAAAAACTAATGAATTTCCACAGTGTATTTTTAAAAAAATGAAAAAAAAAATTCGAATTATTAATTTTTCATTGCAGAAATTTCGTGGAAATTTAATGTTTGAGTAGTTTTTCAGAGCACGAGAACGAGATGCTATTAATCCACCAGGATGGTATGATTATTTTGAGCAAACCAAACGTGCTGTAACGGATTATTTGGCACCAACACGAGATTTTGCTTCAGCAATTTTGCCGGAAACAGCAAATCTGAATGTTGCTAGTTTAAAAGAGTACGTCAACAATTATGTGCATAAGTTTTAAAAAAAATTAGATCACTCAGTTAATTTTTATCCCAATTATTTTGTTTTATTTTTAGTGTTGACGATAAATTGCACGTGTTAGTGGCAATCTCTACCAGGAAATACTTCGTATTTCTAATCAAAAAAGAAGGTGGTGTTGCTACATTAATAAAAAGTGAAAAACTTCATTCTAAGGTATTAATAGAAGTACTAAATGTTCATTTCGATTACATCTAATTTGTATAAATATTTCTATTCAAACCAAAAACTATTACACATATTTTTTAGACGACACTTTTACATCATTATGCTATCAATTAAATAAATATGCTAAAGAACCAAATGCTTTATATTTTTCTAAATCAATTTTTTTTTACAAGAAAGAACAAGAGAAAAGAGAACCAATCTGAGCGTCCTAAAATATTTTCTTTTTTTTGCCAGCTATAAAATAATATATCTTCAGGTAACATCACCAACCCCCGATGAAAATCCTGTAGTTCCTTCTCCATTCTTCAGAAATATATTTCGCTGATTGCTTTATTTAAGTGACATTTTATATGATAATCGAGATAAGTGACATTAGCGCAAAAATTTGAATAATAGACAATCGGATATATTTATGATATCGTGATCATCATTATTTTTAAAACAAAAAAAAGACCACCAATCAATTGTGAATTAATAATATTTTTCGTAATCATCTTTCTCAGTCCAGTCTATTCCATTGTATCACTTCATTCCTCTTTATCCACTTACCTATTCTATTATACCTATGTATATATTATATATGTATATATACCCCGTTCGGGATACATTCCGAGGTTTTTTGTTCCTTTGTGCATTCATATATTGCTCAGTGTATCATAACTGGCAGCGTTCAATGTTATCTCCATGAAAATGCATTAAGTACTTCAAATTACTGAATAATGAATTAGTAAAAAGAATGAATGAATATCAGAAATTGATTGATTTTACTGATCTTTAATAATATGACTAATATTGCCTTATCAGTTATAAAATTCAACATTCAGATCAATTATAAAATTTATAAAAATTGATCCAATCGAGAACTTGTGATAGTGAAGAGTTTATTGCTCAGGAAACCTAACTGGATGACGGTCAGAGATATTGCTAATTCCTTTTATCTTTTTTAATAGCATTTTCCTGGATCAATTCTCTTCAATGTTTTATTTGTTTCTAAATTTTTTTTTTTGATTTATGCCCAATTAAAATTACTTTATTTAAAGTTATAACCACTTAATAGATTTGCAAAAGACGGGGGATCACTTCCACGAATGGATATCATCAGCCAGAGAGACTTGTCAACTATAATCATTAAATTTATTAGTGTCAAGCATTTAGAATCATCAGCTTTTCATGCAACATTTGCTTTGTCTTGAGATTGAAATAGATGGCGAGGAAATGTCGTTTTCAATACTAAATAGTTAGTCGGTTACAATTTTATTGCAAGATTTATTCGTACTGAGTACTCACCATGAATACAACATGCAAATCGACATTGCACTATCTTTGAATAGTTTGGAAACGCGCAAAACATATGTTTGAAAGACTCAAATTAACTTGGGAGGGGAGAAGGTGAAATTACTCTGTTGAGACTATTGAAACGAATGAGAATATGGGAAAGTGAAGTGAAGTAGCTTCATGAAGTGTATCTTCAGCTTTTTCCAGGAAATACAAGAATTACAATCAATTACCTACATAAGTGAATCATATGTGCATTCATCAATCTTCATTTCAGAAAAATAATCCCTGTCAGCTTAGTTTTTATAAATTTTACAATAATACACAATCGAATCATTAGGGTTCAAAATATAAAGAGAAACCACGAAAAAAAAAATTAAATTCATGCATAACTATCAATCTACAAAGAGTAAATTATTCCCTCAAAATAATTCTAATAAGCAATTTGTAACACAGTTGCCTAGTGGTATCAAATTATCTACTTTTAAACCGATAACTGATGAAGTCACTGAATTCGTACACAGTTGATATGGACACAGAACGACATTTTCCATAGTTTGATAAAAATAGCAATTTAAATCAACACCATAACTGGACTGTTCCATCGACAACTAAAAAAAATTTTAAGCTGTTCACTGTTGGGATGAGCATAAGGAGACAAGAATAACAGAAATGAGAACAATTACCAGATACTGCATAGAACAAGAACCTAAAGAATTTATTTACATCATTTGATACCTAACTCCATGTCATAAAATATAATTAGCTGAGATAGTGATTTCAAAAATTTTGATGCATACGAGCATAGAGTATGAATGTTAGTACTTCGGTGGAATTCGATTTATACTCAGTAATCATCACTTGAATTTATTCTGAAATATTCCAATTATAATATATTATGATATAGCAGCAAATATAAACTATATTATAATATATTATACGGACCCTTACTCCATATTTTAAGCACTTCCTCTCAACTATACAAAAACGTAACGGAATAAATAAACGAGAAAATATGAGCTAAAGATGATGAGAGATCAACAACGACAACAACAATACCTTAATTGTTTGTATCATAAAATCTTCATTTTCGTGCCACTACCTGCTCTTGAGAATGCATTTCTCCAAACAAATGTTACAAGTGATAGAAATGCAAAAAGAGTCACGGGTGTCCCTGAAATCAGATTTAAGAATCAGTCAAAAATGTGTGACAAAATTTCAAAATATGCTTCTATGTATAACTTTGTATAACTTTTAGTATAACTTTTATCTATTGAGATCAATCTATCGGTGCCAGAACTTGTTATCATTTTATCATGCGAATGCATTCAACCTTCAATGTAGCCTACCTTCAACATCATCATTACCATTCACTGGTGCTGAAAAATTAGGAACATAGAGCAAAAAGTTGAATGGCCAAAAATACGTGGAATTAATATGCCCAATTATAACAGTACGAGAATAAAACATCAGCGAAACAGCTATCAACTGCACGAATATTCCGCTAGCAATCAATAATAATGTGTATGTTATGCCAGAATTTTTCTCGCGTTCCATAACTGCAATGATTGGAGCAAAATTGGGAACATAAAGCAAGAAATTGAATGGCTAAAAACACGTAAATTATTAATTACCAAGCCTGTGTGCTTCATGCATATTTAATTCCGAAAAAGATATTAGAGTAAAATTGTTTGCAATTGCAGTTATCATTAGTCGATGATAAAGCTATTTAAAGAGTTTTTTTTTTGAATCTATTTTCAGTTGAAGCTAAGCGATCTGTGTATAATTACGCAACAAATTTTAGTTAGAAAAAAATTCATGCAGAAAAAAACTTACTTAAAGCATTCAATTCAGCCAATCTCTGTTTCATAATTCGTTCTTTTTTAAAATAGGCAGCAAATTCAGCTGTTGGTGAAAGTGCAGATAACTCTGATTTCATTTGCCTCACCTCCAAAGCTAAAACTTCGATTCGAGAATCCACTGCATCACAACGAATTCTTCGTGATAGCAAAGGTTTCAACTAAAAAAAAAAAAAAAAAACAATTTATGATTTTCCTTGAACCTTCGCAAAACTTTCGGCTCATTTTTACTCATTTCAGTAATAATTCACGAACTAATTTTATAGGCAATCTTAAATTAAAAACTAACTTTTGCGGCAAGCCATCGTGTTAATGTCATCCAATATGCGAAGGCAAATATTGCAACAAAGCATGCCAAAATACCAAATTTATCCTTATTCCATTGACTTAATATATCAGCAACTGTTAAACAAGGCATATAATCTGCAATATTTCCGATCATCTGCATTATATAATAACTAAATCAGTTTTTCATAAAGTGATTACAACAAAATTGCTCAACTTCAATTAATAAATCACAAGTAATTTAAGATATATTCATTACCAACTATGACAAATTTTACTTCCCCTTCCTTCTATTCATAATAACCATTAAACCATAGAATTGGTTGCTCATCAAGAATGGAATACTGAACAGATGGTAACCCGACAGACTGTACCACCGCTCTCGAAAGCTCTCAGTCTTCCCGAGCCACTCCAAGTCAGCACCGCAGGAGATTAATGCGGCCACAACATGCAAATAAGCAATCCCATAAATATGAAGTTCAATTTAAATTTATCCCATTTGATTAATTAATTGGTTAATCAAGTGGGATAAATTTAAATATATATTNAATTAATTAATTAATATACATATATGTATACGCTACTGCCAATGAATAATTATTTTTGTAGAAATATATTAATTAGTTTCCTATTTTCAAATTCAATTTATACTACTCTGTTCCATCTATTCAGTTAGCTTCAATGAAGTTTGCTAATAATTTATAATGCGTACGTTGGCTCTAAAAATTAGCATATTTCAATAGTAATGAATTTCTCATCTTTTCTAGCAAAGCATAGTATTAACGGTTATTACCTTGCACACAATCATAAATTTTCTTCCTGTAATAGAATTTGTTGTTATTTCTGCTAATTTCATTTATGATAACATCATACGTAATTTCTTCTTTTTTATCCAGTCATTTCTTTCTAACAGAAATGATAGCAATTTTTGCCATCAGAAGATCTTAGATGAAAAATAGAAGTTAGCGCCAAATGGATTCTGAAAGCAAATTCGTATTCATCCATCTTTCTTCCTGTATATGCAATGTCGCCATTCAGACGATAAATTTTTACAAGGTTCATCTCTCTTCTCTTCACTCTAATTCATTTATAACTCTTTCATTTACCTTTTACCCTTCTTTCGTCTCCTTTTTTCTTTTTTTTTCTCTCTCTCTCTCTTAAAAATGCAAATAAAATTAGTATTAAATTCATTGAGTTGCTTCTAACCACAAATATAAGAGTGTTTTTTGACTATGCGCAATAATTTTCTCAAATTGTCAAAAATTACAAATTTCTTCTGTTTTTTTAAACCATATCCATTTTAAAAAAATAGAAATATACATATATTCATGCGATTTCTCGTCTCATTTCTGCATGCTGATGTTACCATCTGTAAGTTATTGCAAAATTTGTACATCTTTTATGGTCCGAAATCTGAAAGCGGAATATTTTCGATTATTTATTTCACTCTGTACAATTTAATAATTTGATCAGTTCCACTACGTTGAAGTGATAACGAACGGTAAAAAGAAACCATAAAAATATTCATTCTTATTTGTAATTGGCACGAACATGATGTTTTGTTTTATGTGTAAATGACAGTTAAATCACAAAGTTAATTTTCGACTCACATTCGACTTTTTTAAAAAAAGTATGCAAATTGGAAAATCATTAAGCAAGTCTTTTCAGCATGTTGATTGGCTCGTTTTTTGTGATATAATATTGCTAATATTTAATTTGATTTATGAACGTAATATTTATACAAAACAAATCCAACTACAAATATACATATGCGTGCATGCACGCATGCATGCATACATAGGTTTTATATGTTTAAATTGGACAATTCAACAAAGAATAGAATGAATAGATGAACAAATGTTTCAGTTCAAATATCATAATTTCTCATATTCAGTGATAACATGAAATACAAACTGATAACAGTGAAATATAAGCTTTTAAAAAATAATTTTGATCAAATAGCGTCATTGTTTGTCATCACCTAACATCACGTCTATCACATTTAACTTTTCTAAAATATTGATCTGAAATTTCTGCGAACATTTGCAAGATTTATAAATGTTCATTGTGTAATCAAAAAATGATTAGCGATATCCGATAAATTCCATTATCAATTCATCACAATCTTTTTTGCCGTTTTCATCCGGAATCACAAATGTGATTCTGTCATTTGCATTGTCGTGCTCGTCTCTCCTCTCGAATTGCTTCATGATATCCTTCTCGAAGTTGCTCCACAACGAATAGTACAATTTTTGTCCATCCAGTTTGTGTTGTTTTATTACGATCCCTTTTTTCACCCCATTCCAGAGTTCGTTCAATAATCGCTGATGCGAAATGATCAAAATGAACAAGACGAAATGGACAATTGATTGATTGATCACAACAACTACTACTACTATTGTTACTGCTTTTCTTCTCAACTGAAAATTTGAATGAAAGTAAAAAAATATAGTTAATAAAATTTAATGTCACATTTTTAGCGCATTTCTTCTAATTCATTGAAATCTTTTGAAGTGAAAAAATTGCACTTTAACCCAATAACTCAAATTTCCTAAATATTAATAATGTTAGCCTAATATAATTAATATAATAAATACTAACATAATTTATATAATAATACTAATATATAATAAGCCTAACATAATAAATACTAATATTATTTCACAAATACTAATATCAGATTTTATTTTTTCCTTTTAAAGAAAAAACGAAGGAAATATGTGGACAAACATTTATTGGAGGTACCACGAAGCAATGAAGCATGTGCCCGTCCAGCTTTCCGTAATTCTTCAATTACACTTTCCTTTGCATCCAATCCAGTTATTAAACGATCCATAATATCCGTAAAACTTTTAGCATGTTTCTGTGTAAAAAAAAAAGAGGAAGAAAACCTACCTTGAAATTTCTTGGTGT